ATATCATAAAGGTTCTTCTCAGACAAACCAAAATAGTTTCATATTGTTAATCCATTTTCCTTCATTCACTAATTTCTATTTTTAACATAATATTTCATTAAAAGTTAATGACATTGAAAATTAAAAAGTCTGGAGGCCTTCCAGTGGTTGCATCAGACATCGATTTACCTCTGCTTTTGAGAATTATTTTAATAACTCTCTAGCTTTTTAGCATCAACAAATATAGCATTCATCAAGGAAGCATAGCTTTCTCTGTTTAAAGACAAAAATCAGCAAGGTTCTTCTCTGACGGGATGGCAAATTTCTCCAAATGTTTTTTTCTTTTCCCTGTAAAAATTTGTCTTAAACTTCAGCAACATTGTCACACTGAACCAACAGAATTCCCATGTGGTTACAGGTGGATAACTATTGCAAGACAATATAAGAGAAAAACTGAAAGCCTCCAGACTCTACACTCCGGTCTGTAGAAGTTAATGAACGTTTCTACAGGCATCTGGCATGTGGTTATAGCACACTGTTACAGCAAACAGAGACTTTTATTCCTTGGGCTGTACTGCAGGAATCTCTGAAGGGTTCTCAGATACTTTGTGAGGGCAACCTTGAAGGATGTAGGCTTCAAAAGTGCTGTAAGGATGTCATTTCATTACCACAGTAAACAACACTGAGAAGCTTCTCTCTACAACATGAAATTTCAGGCTGTTGAAAGACAGTAAATAGCCCTGGTCCCATACATGATCACCATCTGGATCTAGCACATGAGCATTCACATCCTTCACAACCACATTTCACACGACTTGAGGTTGGGAAGCCATCAGCATTCAACAACTGACAGAATTACATAGGTCTCAGGGTGCTAAAAATGGACTACCAGGCAAATAACTGATTTTTTGTTAAGGATCTAACATTTACCACAAATTTTTCTCATAGCCACTAATTCCACTAGCATTCTTCTGCTTTGATCCCACAGACCATTCAATGTTAAATCTACCTTGTCACACATGAACGGAGGGGAAGAATGTAACATGATAATAACTAAAAATTCACATTCATTTACCACACTATAAAAATAATTAATGAATAACATTAAAAATAAGGTGCTTTTGATTTCAGAGAGTGAGCTCCTTCGGAGACAAGTCATCAGAAAGCCATTAAAACAATGAAGAAACAGAAAACTGAATCCGTACTGGAACAGAGATCACCTGGACCATACATATGATTGGAGTTTCAGGATTGCAAGTGTTTTAAAAACTCCATTTGGAAGCTGGGACTCCCTGTCACATGAAATAGTAAGTCAGAATATACTTCTCCAAACCAGAACAGAAACAACCTTCAAGAAAGCATCAGTGGATCATAAACAAAAATGAATCTACTCTTCCCTGGTACCCAACGAGAAGAAAGAGGGACATGACAAGGAGGTTATTTTATGTGACCTCTTTTATCCTCATGTACAAAAAAGGGTGCACAGACTAATTAATAACATATAATTTTAAGGTCTTTTTGGCTTATTCAAAAAGAGAGACTGAAGCATTTGGACAAAACATAACAGCTATAAGTTCTGCCTCCAATGCTGACTACATCAGCAGAGATTCCGGCAACCTAATTGTCTCTTGAAGCAGCACAGTAACAGATGCAGAAGGAAACACTTGCAAACATAAGAGGAGATAAAGAAACCAACTCTTCAGTACTGAAAGAAATTTTTAAAAGATGAAAGAACAGCAGGATGAAAAACACTATAGAATTTCCACAGAAACTCATAAATAAATGTTCCTACAGCATAGCTCAAGAGCCACTTGAAGCCTGCATTTTTTCCGAATGAAGCCCCAAAACCATATTTCGGTTGTGTCCACTCTATTAACAACAGTATAATATGAATTTTTTATGCTGTGTTACGTGACCTTCTATGAGAAAAATCTCAGCAACCATAGCTTATAACCTATGTTTAAAATTAACCAGAGACATTCAATCAAGATTTTATTTAGCTTCCCCCATATTTACTGAAACTCTGTAATTAATATTAGCCATTACTCAGAAGTTAAATGATAGATAAAAGTCACAAGTTAGCAGGTTTGAAAATCTTTTAAGAAACCTCAGTTAATTCAGTGCAGACGGAAAACTGAGATTACATTTAGAGAAAAGAAATATTACAGGTGTTTTTCACTACGCCTAAAAGGTAGATCATCATAAGCAAATTGTGGAGATAGATACAGAAGTGCAATATGACACAACTGAGTATTTTTTTTACATGTATGATAGAATTAATGCCTTTAAACAAGGCAAATACTTCAATATGAGCAACAGGATGTTAATTAAATTTAAAATTCAATCAAGAAAACTATGAATTATTAGAGAAAATGTGAGCCTTAATTTAACCACAGCACTAGAAGATAAAAAAAGTTGAAGAAAAATGTTATTATGAGATCTGTTAAAAGAGAAAAGCTTTAGAGAGCTACTCAGAGAAAACAAAAAAATCACCCAAAAATATCTAAAAACATTCCAAAATTAACACTTTAAAAGTTAACAAGGTGGCATAAAAGAACATTCACTTAACCTTTATCTGCATCTGAGAGAAATGTGACAATTATCAAGTACTACTTAAAGAAAAGGATGCTTTCTCCCACAGCTACATGGACAATATGGGATTGGTAATGAATCCAGCAGAAGCTTGAATGCTTTACTTCATCCTACATTAACTTTACCTTTCTTGAATACTACATCTGCAGGCATACCAGATTTATAATGTGCAACTAAGGGATCTAGAGAAATTTTCCCCAGACTTCATAAAATAAATATTCTTAAACTCTTGTCTATGAACCAGTGATGGACTTCAGTGCATTATTAGTGGTCCTATAAGAGCAGGCAGAATTTATGCACCTAATTTCCTTGTTTGTAAGTTGGGAGCTTAGTTTAAAAAAAAACAAAAACAAAAACAAAAACCACACACAACCAAAAAGTCACAACATTATACTATTTTTTAACTACCGGTTGCTGTAGTGACTATAGAATTCTTACACCATCGTAAAAGAAAAGAATGAAATCCACAGGACTTTACTCAAGTGAGGGCCACTGTATGAAACAAAAATTCCAGAAAATCTATATTAGAAAGAAAATTTGGACAAAATTGCAGTCTTTTATTGGACATCTTTAATCTACAGAATGCTAGTTGAGAATTCTGTGCAATGGTTATATGATTGAAACAATTATGTATGGAACAGTGAAAAACCTTTTACAACATGTATCTTAGAGAAGAAACATGAAAAACATCAAACTGGTGCAGTGGATTATTAATTAAATACGTAAGAGTATAAATGGATGGAAATGTGCCATATGAAAGTTGTAATATCATGAACATAAAACGTAATGATGCATCTTAACTATGATCTGCCGCATGGGCAAAGGTCAGAACTGAAGCTGCAAGGCAAATTTATGTATTTTGATTTTCTGATTTTGGTTGGCCTTACCTGAAACTTTAACTTCTCTGGACCATAGCTGTGATACTAATTACATAAATTTTCCTATAAAGAGTTCTAGCCATGTACACCAGGATGTTAATACAGAAACAAAAAACCCTGTGGATCTATAAACTAAAACATGAAAAAAATCAACTACTGCCTAGTGTTAGAACTAAAAAGAGATTTGACACCTTTCTCCTGCTTCCATCTCAAAACTGAGATTAACAAAATCAGTCTCAGCTCTTGCCTAATCCTTGAATTAAGAAAAATGCAGATTCATCCTCAAAGTGCAGCAACAACAGACTAGTTTTCCTTTACTCTTTCCCCTTTACTCTTTGTCCCAAGATTCTCAGACTTGGCCTACCTTGACTGCACAGACTGAACTTATTAAAAACCCTTTGTTGTGGTAAGGGTAAAGATGATGAGACACTCCTCTCTCTTCCCTCAGATTTTTTGTGGAATAAGTAAGTATTAAGTATGCCAGAGAAAGGGAGAGCCAATCTGTAATTTAGCAATTAGCTCCTTTCACACATAAAATATGGGTTCTGATCCTTTCCCTTCTGAGCACCTACTGCTAAATTTTCCTGTAGAAATAGGTTTCAATAAAGTTAGTGATTACTTACCATTAATAAAAGCAATCTGAAATTTTTAGAAGGCTACAACAAGGTTTTCCTCTGCTTTAGAGCAAATATCAAACTTTATGATTTCCTGTTCTTAAATATTCTTAGTTCTTGGGAGCTTGGCATTCTCAAAAGGATTAAAAATAGCTAAATTCTGTCTGCTTTTGTTAAACATAAGGTACTGTAACACAGAGGAGAAAAGCAGGTATCATGAGCAATCCAAAACCATGTTACAAAAGAATTCTTCCATCTAAGAACATACTGTAGCATTTGTTCAATATTGTCATGTATTTCTAATTTTGCCTCCAAAAATTAAATGCTGTTTATATAAATAATTTAGTGATATTTCACTTCAGTCTAAGCATTCGATTTCTGATTCTTCCTCTCTGACATCATCATTACATAAGTATGTTCCAAGAAAGTGGCATTTATCTCAGCCTTTAATATTCTTGAGTGAAATCAATTCACATATAAAAATATGTGTACAGTACTGAAATAGAGGAATTTCCTTTCAGAATTCACAGAACAAGTATTACACATTCAGAAGTTTACTTTAATGAATATGGACTGACCTGAGACTACCAGTGCTTTTCACCTTGAACTGCAAATGCTACAAAATCTTGGGTTAAGTTTCATTCACCCTGATCTGGAGTCTACCATGAGAGATAAAAAAATTAATGAATTAAAAATATTAACAAAAGAATCCTAATTCCATTGAAGTAATGTTCCTACTAATTTTGATGCAAATTTGAGCAAGACTAATAACATGGTATTTGGGAGGTTTGGTTTGTTTTTTTTTAATTGCTCTTTGACTTCAGGTCAATAAAATTAGTTGCTTCCTCCTTTAGAAGCCATATCAACTGTCCAATGAAGTTAAAAGACAGGAAGGCAGACACCAACGCTGAGGATTTGTTAATTGCCGTGTACATACCACCTTTCATCATTCCCACTTCATAGCATTTTCTTAGTCGGCAAGCCTGGCAACTCTTTCTTCTGTTCTTGTCAATGGTGCACTGGTTAGTAGCAGGACACATGTAGTCATTGTGCCCTGTAAAACCAGAGGGAAGTAAGGACACAGTTATACACAGACATAACAAAACTCCCTATAACACTCTCTTAGTTTTCATTGAGTATTTAGTACAGCATCTAACATCTCAGGAAGAAGGTAGGGTTACCATCATAATCTATTATAAAAGTATTGATATGGATAGTGAAACTAACATCTATTCACAATGCACCTATTCAGGTTCTTTAAAAGTACTATGAAACCTGCAAATTATAACTTCTGTAGACTGATTAAAATAATGAACAATTAAAGCAGTCACAAAAGAGTATAGATTAACATGAACATGTCCCTTGACTTCCTTGCTCTTAGCATGAGAAACACAATGCTATCTGGTCCATTGGCCTGTGTTGATGTTTAACTAATAGACTGCACAAAATGGTTAGAGGTTTATAGAATTAAAAAGGCCTATGCACAGAACATTTTTTGATATCTACCACAATCTAGGGCAGTTGAGAAACAAAAACCAACAATATAAAAATAGAAGCAACAACCATTAATTAATTGTATCTCAGGGATAAATCAGTCTCCAATTCCAGCTGCATGACAACTGATACATGCAAAAACTTTTTGTCATGACAATTTCTTAAATTGCCATATGCTGCAATCAAATTTGGTACTGGTACCTTTTCCTTCAGAGCTCCACTTCCTCTTTTATTACCGTCTACATCTCAATTCTCGTTACAAACATTTCCAGCGTACCATAATTTGTTACTGTCAACAAGCCTCTATTCCAATATTCTCTTAAAAAATGAGTGCTTAAACTGGCTATAAAATTTTTTTCCAACCACAGATAAGATTTAGCAAGGACAAAAAAGACTATCCAAAATGATCTTAATGGTGCTCTATATTCATCTAAACACAACTAAGGTACAGCACACAATGAAACAATTTTACTGCAGAACTGTTTGTTCTTTCTTTCAGGTCAAGGGATCAGCTTGAGGTAGAGTAGGATGGAGGTTTGACAGAGGCCTTGGTCTCATCAAATCATCTATCCTTGACTAGAAATTAGAAAATAGAGTAAAAATCACTATCAGATTACAGCAGGAACATCTGCTCTCTAATGCTACATAAGTGGGATCCAATCAAAATAAGCAGCTAAACTGTAAACTTGTTAATATGGTGACAGTTGACTTCAAACTGTTTCAAATAGACAGAATTATTATTTTTTAGCTCTACTTGACAGAACAGTATAATACTGGAAAAATCTGAATCCACAGGCTTTGCTCCAGGACTGAGTAAAAAGGTAGAACAGAAACACTACCACAAACTCAGCATGAAAGACCATTTTCATTTTCAGTTCCTCTGGTAGGACACAGACTGTTCTATATCTGATTCAAAAGATTTCACATGTAAGAAAAAAAAAAAAAAATCAAGTCAGAAAGAAAACAGCCTCAACCATACAAAAATGTGATATCTACAGGGAAAATGAACAAAAGGGAAAGCCACGTTTTCAAGAAAATGCACTTTTATTAGGTCACACTAAACACTGCAAATGATTGTAGCACCTGACCTCAATCACGAGCCTTTATAAGCCAAGCTCTGAAAGAGCATGAGAGGAAAATGGAAAACTCTCATTACTCTTTTTAAAAACAAAGAAAGACTTTGATATAGTATCTGATCTTCTTCCTAGTTAAAATGTAAATTCAGAAGGGTAACGAGCACAGGTTCTTAATTCAGCAAATAATTCAGAACACCATTTATCTCCCTGTAAAATAAGCAGATCAATGTTTCCACTTCGGTTAAAGCTGAACACTTGTTTACCACCTTTGCTGATGCTCATAAGGTTCAACTCTCAATGACAGTATGCAAAAATCAAAAATCAAGTGGAATCAATATCAGCAGGGCAGACATTCTTTTTCATAGTGCTTACATGGGTGGTAACCTTTTCCTTTGCTCTGAACCTAGATTTCTTTATACAAACTGCATATGTTTGGGAATAGGCATTTGGTTTGTAGAATAATACATAAAATAATCATATTTGTGATAGAGCTGCAGTCCCTACTAAAATTAACGTGATTTGTATTATCATATTTTAACACTGAAAAGTTTTATCTTAAATATATGCCTTAAAGGTTAGCATAATTAGTCTGTTTTCATGCATGTGACCTGCACCTTAGCCAGTCCACTCTTCTTTGAAAACGTTTGACAGACTTCACAGAATAAAACCTATAAAATTTTAAATGCAAAAAAAAAAAAAAAAAGAAAGATCTTTGTGAGAGGCATACTTCTTCAGATTATGAGTGCCATAGACTTCATAATTTTTGTAAACCTAGCAAGAATTTAATATTTCTCATAATTTTTGGTATAGTTTAACCGACATTCCTTCAGAAGACTGGAAAAGATGTAATCAACCAGAAGAAAATGTTTAATATTATACAGTAGAAATTATTATCAAATAAATCAGGTAAGAAGAAAGAAAGAAATAGAAGAAGGAAGGCAGGAACCTTTCCTGCTTCTGAACAACACCGTCTGATTTCAAGTATTCAGTCATAGGAAGTGAGGAGTTTCCTTTACAAGGTGCGGACTCAGACCAGGGGAGTCTAGCTTGGGGTGGCACAGAAGGGAAAAAGGTAGAACACAATTAAGGAATAGCGAACATTTAAAGACAACTATTATTTTAAAGTGAAATAGTATAACTCAATAACTCTGCTGTAAAGTGCATTGTCTTTTAACTATTCTACCTTCTATTTTATCCTTAAAGCTCATCTCTTGACAAAGTTGATTCTAAACAATCTGATTTACTAGAAGGGATTTCTCACTGGTGGGAATTATCAACATGTAAGTGGGACACATCATCAGGTGCCCAGCTGCCCTGCACTTCATTATCATGGTATCCAAACAGTAACACAAGCTAGAAGACAGGCTAATTAGGCTATTTGGATAGTTAGTTTCTCAGGAATACCAAGTGGAAGAAATTTCTTCAGTGATCACTGATACTCATAAAGGGAAGCAGATGTCAGTTAGACTCTGTGGTCTCACTGTTTGTTTTTGGTGTTTTTTTTAAATAAATTAACAGATAACTGGCATAATATTAAAGGCAGTGAGTTTAGTATGGTAGAACCCCTAGTTTTAATCCCCCCGTACGTATGACTTGCACTGTCATGAGCTACAAAGGAAGAGTTTAAGGGAGCTACTGGAGGAGCCTGAGGAGGGGTGATCTGTTTTTCTTATGAGATCTCACACATTGCACAGTTTAAAAAAGTAAAAATAACTTTAAGTATTTTCATAGCATTTTATTATATGCTAAGGTCTTTCCAGAACAGGGTGAAAAGATCTGGCTCTTTTCTTAAAGCACTAATTTTATATTTGACAATCTGTATAATAACAACCAACAGTGAAGGGGGAAAGGATACGGAAGAAAAGTATCAACAGGAAGATAATGGCTGAAATTGGGAAAGCTTTGAGTTTATTCTAACCCAGTCTGAAATAATCAGAGCTTTTTCTTACTGCACATGTAGTCTGACTTTCTCTTGTCTCCATGAATCATGTGTCTAGTATTTATGTTCAGACACTCATTGCTGTCTGTCTAAGGGTTCTCAAGATAGCTGTGGTGTAAGCAACAGCAGCGCATGCTTGAATTGGAGTGGCCAGATGATTTATCTGGGAGGGCTTCAGCCAGCAAAACACTCCATATTTCTTTAAAGTTAAGTGTCACTACATTCGGCAGAACTTTTAAGCATCTGTGTACTTCTAACAAGTAGTCTCAGCACAGTATATATGGTTAAAGTTAAGTACATGCTTGAGTGTTTCACTGAATTGCAGCTTTGAAAATCTGAGTTCACTTTGTCCTTGACCAGCAAGGATGAAAATTGGCGTCATATTAATAGATCAACAGCAATTAACATAACACAGATTTTTTTTTTTCCTTAAATGTGTACTTGCCATATTATATTCCGATAATCATCAAGATTAGCCTGAGGGAATCATTAGTTTAAACAGTACAAAAGTTGTGCAAAAAATGAATTCAAGAAACCAACATGTCAGCATGCCAGTTTAAGAATGCTTAATGACAATTCTACAAAGCAAATAAAGAAACATTTTTGTTAGGTGAATTTTGTATGACACCTAAACTGATGGAGTTGAATTAACTCATCATACATTTCAAACAAAGATAGTAATAATCACTTTTACTAATATTTCCTTTTACTAATATGTGCCTTTCCTTTAATTATTCTTTTATTTTCCATCCTCATGTCACACAAATTTCTTAAACTATTATCTATCTGTATAAGGCATCTGCCAGATTAGCCGTTTCCTGAGGAAGCACCAGGTCCTTCTGTGGTCTTATTTTGACAGTGAAATTCACAGAATTTCGTACATGGAGGTAAAGGGAAGGCTAGAGTGTAGACTTTATCTCCACCTTAAGGTGCCAAGCAAGCGATGAGTGAGAAGACTGCAGATAAAAAGCAAAATCTTGAAAAGAATAGCCTCAACAGCAAGTGGAAAGTTTTCATAAATAATAAAATGAAAAAAAACCCCAGCACCCGGACACTGCATATGCTAACACAGTATGAACAAATGTTAAATGTAAGATAAAAATTTATCCCAGTTTTAAGTTAAAGTGCCCCAATAAAATTGCACTGATTTCAAATCTCACTCTTTCCTAACAGGTTTCACAAAAGAACAGAAGGTTATGTCTAATTCCTTTATAAGCACAGACATTCAAGTTCACAGATTAATTACCCTCAGACAAGGTCTCCGGATTTGTAACTTGGGTTCTCTTAGCAACTACCCAGCACTGCTGAGAAATTTAATCATTTTCTGTTTTTAAACTAGCAAGACATTACTAATTGTCACAGTAAAGGGCCTAGAAGATTGTAAAACACACTTTCTTTGCATCCAGTGAGAAAGTCCTCCTTCTCTGCATACGTCGGAAAGAAAGATCACAGAACCACTGAAAAATGAGAAAGGAGGAAAGGTTAAAATCTGTATGTTCTGTATTAAGTCCAGCAGCTGTGTCATGTAGCTGCCACACCGAGTGT